ATTTCATAAATACGGAGTCTCGTCTGAACGCAGCTATAATGTAAGAATTAATATGGTTTTTGTTATATTGAGCTAGACTTAAAATGGTATTTAACGTCATATTTTTCTTATATACTGACACAAACTTTTACATGTGAGTGGGAGATTACGGGTTTTAACAGTATTTTCATGAAGCTACTATTTACACTGATGTTTGATAAATAAAGATGCCATGAGCGGTGGTCTTGTATATGGATTTGTTCCGAAGAGTTTGCGTTTATAACTTAATTGTATATTTCGGATTAGCGTTAAACTTATCTGGAAGAGGGCGCGAGAGGGAGCGCGGGGAGTGCTTCATAGAGTCACGGGGATTTTAGGGATTTTCGTTAGTGTATACGTGTAAGCGGGCGTTGGCAGTGCATACGTGTCAGCAGGCGTTGGTAGTGTTGTTTTTTTAGTCGTGTATCGAATTACAACCGTCGACAGAGTTTATCGAATAAATAGTTATAGAGTCCTTTACTACACACTGTGCCGTCTTCTTATCGTATCGTTCTGCCATGCAATTCACTCCGACGAGTGGACCTTCGAGCCGGATCCCCCCAGCGAACATAGAGGTGCAGAGGTTTGGAGAACACGAGTGCATAACTCCATAACCGAAAAGAGAATGGAGCAAAAAGGTGAGCTGAAGAAGGAACGGAGGAGATTGAAGACCAAGTTAACTAAAACCAAGACACAGGTTGTAAAACTTTTAAATCAAGAGGAAAAAATAGATGAAATGCAGGAAATGATGGACCAGATTCCTAGCGTACAAGACGGGATTCTGTGAGTCCTGTCCGATTTAGAAACTGTTGACACAGAGAACGAAACAGAATACGCAACGCAGGCAGATGTTGACACTGCAAAAGCCTTACGTTTGGCCACAGAGTACATCAGTGAAAATGTATAGAAACGGAACAGTCGTACTTGTGACGAGCAGAAAGCTGAAGGTGGCGAGTCTGAGTTAAGACCGGCAGAATTCAAAACAGAAGCAAAGTACAGTATTGATAGCGACATGCATCACAGCCTGAAGCGCGTACTTATTCCGACATTTAGAGGAGATAAACAGGACTATCCAATATTCAGAGATGCCTTTTATCAGTGTGTTGACAAGGCAAGCTGCTGTGGGCCTAGTTTTAAGATGTTAAGCTATAGTAGAACGTCAAAATATCCATCCACGCGTGTGCTTCAATATTAACGGAACAAATCTAAGCAGCTTTAACTACCAGAAGCAGTAGCATCAACAGTAGTAGGAGAAGTGAAAGTATTAGCACGCACAGCAGTATAGTACATCTGGTCACTTGGCGGTGAAGGCAGCAGCAGCAGCAGAGCAACAGCCCTCATATGAGCATTGGTGCTCTGCAGCAGTAGGTCTAAATGTAAGGACATATGCTGTTTTTTTAGATCTGGTTTTGTGAATGAGGCAGACCCTACAAATTGGAAAAGCGAAGACTTTAAGCCCTACATAAATGTAAGTCAATGGTGCTACTTAGTATTTACTGAGCTCAGTGTATGTGTGTGCCAACCATAACATGGTTTTTCGTGTGTATTTTCCTGTTAGTTACTTCCTCTGAGTTCGCCCACAATAATATTTTGGATGCACATTTCTATTCAGTTGAGCAGCGGTTTACCATGTAATAGAATTCACTACTAAACAACATTATTTACTCCGTTTTATTTAATGGTATAATTTGCATCGCTGAGGTAAAAGAATTTTTACATAAATTACACACTAGTGAATACAGAGTGAAAAATGCTATATTAATTTCTGTTGTAGCATATCGTCTCATGCTTTGGCCCTCATCGGTGCATGTTTGGTTCTGATTGGCCCGTCTGCATGCAGTCTAATGCATCGTATGCAGATGTTTACAACACATTGAAAGATTGTCTGAAGCATCTAACAGAAGAGAACCAGCGACGTATATTTGGGCAGAATGCTGCTGAATTCTACTCTGTTAAAACATTGTTGAAGAACTGTTAGATTGTTACATTCTGCACAGTTGAAATGTAAACTGAGAACTGTTGTATTCATTTAACACAGAACCAGAGGAGGCATATCAATATTAGTTGATATACCTGCTCTGGTTTAACATAACAATTGTTAGATAGCAGCAAAATATACTGCACTATAACTGGTGCAGACTCAGAGTATGTAATGTGCCATGAAAACAACAAAAAACAATATTGGCCTTAGAGAAATGCAATGTTGCCTGCTGATTAGTGCTGCCATCTAACATAAATACTTTCTCGCCACTAATGGCCCCCACGACGAGAGGCACAAATAGGTTTGAGCTATACTAGACAGTAGTGTATGAAGAAATTGTGTCATATCTGGAAATACATAACAGTAGTAAAACACCCAGAATGTAATTTTAAAAACCTGCAACTTTGCCAAACCCCGTTAATAATGTCCCTGAGAGATGTCACTGATTTATTCACGAATTTGTATGCATCATAATTGTCTGAGTGGGGCAGATTCTATTCTATCTCTCCGGAGTGACGATGGGGGATGATGGTTATATAGTGTTTAACGTTTAACTTATTGTTTATTAAATTACGATTATTAAATCTTGGGCAAACTGTGGCTAGTATGTAAAATTATCCTCGGTCTCTTTGCTTGTCATTCTGCTTAGAGTCAGCAATAGTAAATGTACTATTCACTCCTGATTTAAATATAACAACACATTTATTGCATGGATGTTTGGGCATCGTAGAGTTTTGTGGGCTGAGAAGAGCAATCGAGGATAACATCGGGTTTCGACGTCCACAAAACTATATATCCCTCACAACAATGCAATGATTGTGTAATATATGGAAATATTTAAGGCCAATATTCCCAATATAAGCCGCGTTCACACGTAGCAACAAATTCGGTATTTAGCGTTCACACGAGGCTAAAATGCGCGGTCCAACAAATACGGAATTTAAATAGATTCGGTATTTGTTGAAATACGCAGCTTACCAGATGCCGAATTACTTCTCGTGCTTGAGAAATTCCGAATCTCTTGGACCGCGTATTTCTCTCGTGTGAACGCTAAATACCGAATTTCTGAAGCCGCGTATTTTATAGACTGGTCCGCGCTCGACAGTTACACTTGCGTAATGCGAGTATGTCGAGCGCGGACCAGTCTACGTATTTTATTAGCAGTTGCTGTGCACTGATTGTTTATTTCGCATTGTTCGCTTGATTGTTCGCTTGGACGCATTGTTTTTTTTCAGTGTACTAAAGCAGCTCGCAGCTCGCAAATACGGCATTTCTGGAGCCGCGAAACAGCGTGTGAACGCTCGGTCGCGTATTTGTCTCAGATTCGGTATCTCGCAAATACCGAATTTCATAAATACGGAGTCTCGTCTGAACGCAGCTATAATGTAAGAATTAATATGGTTTTTGTTATATTGAGCTAGACTTAAAATGGTATTTAACGTCATATTTTTCTTATATACTGACACAAACTTTTACATGTGAGTGGGAGATTACGGGTTTTAACAGTATTTTCATGAAGCTACTATTTACACTGATGTTTGATAAATAAAGATGCCATGAGCGGTGGTCTTGTATATGGATTTGTTCCGAAGAGTTTGCGTTTATAACTTAAGAATCTCACAAATTAATTACAGAATATAATTAGATCCATACAATGAACATGTTATTACTCTGAATATTTACATACTTTATGCTTCTGTGTATTCGTATACCATATTTATGGCATCAGAACATTGAAATTGTATCATTTAATCGATTTTAGTTTTTTGATAATTTTACATTTTTACCGAAAAATTTACGTCTTTATTTAATTGCTTGAACAGTCTAAATGTATTTACTCCCCATATTCACATATTTTGTGTTCTTGTGGCATACTATACAAAATTTTAGATTTTTAGCTTCAGTGAAACTATTTTTAATTTGATCAGGGAAATACACTCTTGGTACGAAAAACGGGTAGCGTGAAAGGCTGAACATCGAAAAAGTCAATTTTGTCCAAAATTTGACTGTGATATAAAATAATTGGTGTTATTTACATGTATTTCTACTTCAGAAATGTGCTCTCAGGAAGCATTCATATTAGTATATAAATTTTCAGAGGTGTAAATACAACAGAACCATATTTAATTTGAACTCAAAAAGGGAGATATTTTCCTGAAAATGTCGGTGCCGCGGCTGAGACAATACACGAATCATTTGCTTTGGAGCTATTTTCAGATGCCGAAAAAAATTCAAAGGCGTCTTGCACATTACAGTAAATGCTTATTTCATACAGTAATCAGCATTCTTCTGCACTTCCCAAAGTTACAAGGGCATAGACAGCTTAATTACTTTACAATTAGCGAATAGAATCCATACCGAGGGCTTCTGGACACGGACTTGAAAACGGCCTGAGGAAAAACACCCCGACGCCGCTCACTAAAATCGCTATAGCTCTGGAGTCTCTTAACCAATTTCTATGATTTAAGTATCAGTGTAATGTACATGCTCAGATCTATCCAGTGATGCTAATTTAAGGCGACTACAGTATCCCATTAAAAGATTGTTTTTCAGAAAATCCGCTCATTAAGCTTTTGTAAATTACGTGCGGCCATTTTACAAACAAAGACCAAATTACACAGCGAGTATCAGCCCTCCTGCAGGCGCGCTACAGCTACAAGCGAGAACCAGGTGGCTAACTTGTAAGCCTCGCTCTGATTGGTGCTGATTGTTTGAATATGGGGCGAGCCGTGAATTACGAAAGTTAAATGAAGCAGGTTTCTGAAAAAGCAATCTTTTAAGAAGTGAATAACGATTGAAGTGAATGTATAGCAAATATGCAGTTTTAACAAGCTAAAGCATTATACCGGTTCAAGGATAGAGAACATGGGTCCCAATAAAACGCAATGTCATTTATGGCATTCAATATAATATAATATT